GGGCTACGCCCTCGCAGACTACTGGTCGCTGCAGCGGAAGAAGAAGCAGCCGCAGCTGCTGCCGGTGCCGCTGCAGTTTGTAGGCAGCAGCAGCAACACCGTCCCCAGCCATCCTCCTCCTCCTGCTGCTGCTGCTGTTCCTGCTGTTCCTGCTCCTGCTGCTGCTGCTGCTGGCGGGGGTGCTGCGCCTGCGCAGCTGCAAACTCAAACTGCTGCTGCAGGAGCTGCTGCAGCAACACATACGGCTTCAGCATCAACACAGCCATCAGCTATAACATGGCCAGCAGCAGCAACGCAAGAAACAGGCGTTGCTGCTGCTGCTCCTGCTGCTCCTGCTGCTGCTGCTGCAACAGGCGCGGACTTGGCAGTGCAGGGAGAAAGCGCCAGTTTGCCTTTCTCTCAACAGCAGGACCAGCAACAGCTGCAGCAGCAGCAGCAGCAACAGCTCCAGCAGCAGCAGCAGCAGCTGCAGGAGGTGAGTCAAACGCAGGGGGAGCTACAGCAGCAGCAACAAAGCCTGGAGCAGCAGCAACCGACAGCGCAGCAGCAACAGCAGCAGCAGCAGTGTCAGGAGGGGGCTCCGTCTGCTGATGGCAGCGCTGCACTTGCAGCAGACGCAGCAGCAAAAGCAGCAGCAACAGCAACAGCAACAGCAGCGGAGACAGCTGCAGCAGAGGGTGAGGCGACAGCACCAGCTGCTTCTGCAGGTGCCGAAGCAGGTGCTGCAGCACCTGCTGCTGCTCCAGAGACTGCAGTGGGAGTTTCAGAACCATCTGCTGCTGCTGCTGCTCCTGCTGCTGCTGCTGCTGCTGCTGATACTGCTGCGCCTGCTGCGGAGGGGCAATCGGGAGCTGCGGATACACCCGAAGCTCCTGCGGCGGCTGAAGGCGCCGAGGCATCAACAGCAGCAGCAGAAACAGCAACACCCGCAGCGGCAGCAGCAGCAACACAAGCAGCAGCAGCAGGAGAAACTGCTGCAGCAGAGGACGTGAGAACGGGGACCACGCCGCAAGCCGCCAGCTTAGTCGGATCAGATGCAGCAGCAGCAGCAACAGACGCAGCAGCAGCAGCAACCGACCCAGTAGCAGCAGCAACAGACGCAGCAGCAGCAGCAGCAGCAGCAGCAGACGCAGCAGCAGCAGCAACAGACGCAACAGGAGGCGGCGCTGGATCCGCCGTCGGCTCTGTTGTGCGTGACGGCAGCAGCGTGGTATCAGGAGCGAGCGGTGCTGCTAGTGCAGCACCAGCAGCAGCAGCAGCAGCAGGAACAGCAGCAGCAGCAGCAGGAGCAGCAGGAACAGCAGCAACAGCAGCAGGTCGTGTAGTACCTGGTGGTAGTGATGGTGGTGGTGATATATGGGGTTGTGGTATATCATCAGGAGCAGCAGCAGCAGGAGGAGCAACAACAGGAGCAGGAGCAGCAGG